ATGGATATGTCACATTGTAAAAGCAGGTGGTTCCCTTATTTACCACTATAATGTCTTAAAGCATAGAACTTAGTAGGGCTAACCATACAGATATCTTAGCCATAATTTTATATAGTTAGTAAGAGATCCTCTATTTAACATATATAAATAATTGAGAATACAATATAAAATAAGGATTGTCTTGCAAACAATAGTTTTGTCTTTTAGATATTTATTATATAAAAATATAAATATAGACATATAAAATCCATTATAGCAGAGTTTATAAGATTAAATGCTTGCAAATATCATTAATAGGTTAACATACTCTTCTGAATATGTCATAATGTCAGCCTCTCTGTCATTTTAAGATGGAGCAGCGTCTGTCTCCAAGTCTCTCCTCTGTGTCTTAACATTTAAAAGTACACCTATTTATACCTTAGATGTCGTCATTTTAGGGTCACCGTAGTTCATATATGAAAAAGTAATACTTCTTTTACTTTATTCATTTTAGGACCTTCCTTAATTTGGCAAACATACAAGGCCATAACTAAAGGGTGCATACGTCATGGAAATTTTCCTGACTTAAAGTCTGGACATCCTTATCTACTTAAAGGGACTCTGTACTCACTATAATCATTTCATCTCTTTGATTTGGTTATGATGCCTGGAATCTTCTGGCACTGTCTCTCCATACAATGTTAAACCATTTTAGAGCTGTTTAACACTAAATAAAGGATCAAGGCCACCCACAGTCCAACCTCTTCTGGAGGTGTGGCCAAGGCAGAGATTACACACTTCCTTAAAGTCATACCCTTCATACCGTTAGTTGGAGCTCTGATAGGCTAAAAACAGACAGCTGACACTCTCAGCCAATCATAGCTACCCATTGCTGCTCCTGCTAGTTCTTCTTCATTCGCCAAAGCAGCACAGAGGGGAGGGGCTGCTGGGGACTCTAATTTAGCATTGAAACATACAAATATGAAAAACTGTTTAATGCTGAATGAAATTATGGAACTTGGGAACTCTGGACAATATAATCAGTTTAATGAAATGAAGCAGATACAGTGCCTACAGTGTCCCTTTAAGGTTACCACAGTAGCATAACCTTGATGCTTGTTTATGCATTATTGTTATTGTAATTCGTCTGGGACAAAATGGCGCAAACATATTATGCACTGGGGTTATGCTTAAAGAAACAGTTATGAAAAACAATATGTTCCATTTCTAACACCTTGTCAGTTTGCAATATCTCTTAAAGACAAAGTACACGGTTTAAGAAATACAACATTTCATTCTAAAACTTGTCATATTTGAATTTTGCCCATAACAACATTGTGTGTTTGGTAGTGTGTGGGGGATGTTTGGGGTATTGCATGTGGGGTTGTGTATGTATGTGTATTGTTAGTGGTGTTGCGTTTGTGCGGATTGTGTGTATGTTTGTTTGTGTGTGGGCTGTTCGTATTATTTGTATGAGGTGAGGGTTATTGTGCATTTCTGTGTATATCTAGCAGTGTGGGTGGGTTCCAGTGGGACCAGGCTGGCCAGGTACAGGTCAAGGACAGGAGCTGCGATAGCTGTCGAGGGCTGCTCTACTAAAGTGTTGATTCCCATTCGCAAGTGCTGGGAGGCAGTGATCTGAGATCAGTTCCTCTATGTGCTGCTATGCATAAATTGAGGATTGTCCTTGACCACCTCTTTGTATTAGCAAATATCTGAAGTTTTACTGGGACTCCTGATAGGCCAGAGTCTGTTT